TACCCCCTCCCTGTGCGTCCAGCATCCCCGCACCGCCCGTCCCAGTGCCCTATTAGCCCGGTACCGGCGTCCCGGGGCACCCCATCACTTCCCTGCCCCGGTGCCCAGCACGTTGGGGCACTGCCATCACCCCCATCTCTGTGCCCAATAAACGGGATCACCAATCGCCAAGGTACCCTCATCACACGCTGGGACACCACTGTTCAGTGGGGCACCCTCGTGCCCTGGGTGCTGGGGTCCCCCCATCCTTCCCATAGCACAGTGCTCACACTGCCAGCCCCACTGATGTGCAGTGCTCCCCCCCTGCCCCAGAGATGTCCCTGGGTGGGTGCTGGGGGTCTGTGCTCTCTGGCACAGCCATGGCAGTGCCATGCTCCTGTCTGCTGTGTGGGTGTCGTGCTCGTGTTTATCTCAGTTTGGCGCTGGGGCTCTGTGTGACAGGCAGGTGCCATCGAGGGGTACGTGCTAAGCTGGGGCAGCCCAACACTGAGCTCAGGGTCAGCCCATTTGGAGAAAAACTATTTCACGAGGCATTTATTTCCTAAATTGGATTACACACACGCATTACCCTTTATGTGGGGGGACACCGCTGCGTGAAAGGCCTTGTGTCGGGGTTACCTGCGATCACAGCGGCAGAAAGAAGAGCAAAGAAGAAATGTTTCTCTGTTTTGTCAGGTTGTTTGGTGCATTTGACAGCTCTGTGTGTACAATCAGGTCCCCTGTTTCCTCTTTGCAATCAGCTCCTCATTGTGTGGGTTTCCTCGCGGAATTCAGGAGAGCAAAATATTTTAGCAAATTAAGAAAAAAAGCATTTGTTGGGCTTGGTTTGTTGGTTTTTTTTTAAAGCTCACAGTAATTGGCAGCTTTTAGGAGCTGAGCTTGTTTGTTTTGTCTTGTTGATTTGATGGCAAGTCGATGGTGACTTGGCATTCGTTTGCGGGGCTGAGAGCAGCTGTGTCCTCAGCGAGTGCTGGGGAGCAGAGGGGCATCTTCACCCGCACCTGGTGCTCGTGTCAGCAGAAGAAGAGACTCGATGCGTGAAATTCAGGGCATGAGGGAAAAGTAATGCCTGGGTAAAACGGACGGCCGTGTTTTTACTCTCTAAACTGAGAGATATTTGAAAGGGGGGGGGGAAAAAGAGCACAAATCAGTAAGTCTTGTACTTTTATTGTGGCTTCCCCAAATCACCTTGTCATTGTCAGGCTCTGGGGAAAGCCTGCAGCGGCCAGGAGAGAAGAGATGGCTTTTTCTTTTTAGGTTTAACCACTGAAGAACATCCTGCAGCTTGGCGTGGGCTGTAATCAGTGCAAAACCAATCCAAAGCTTTCTCCTGGAGTCTGTGCATGGCCGGGAACGACATCCGTGTAACCAAGTAACTCTGCTTGTCTTCATGGGTTACTAAACCTTGAACTTGGAGGTTATTTGTAGAAGAGGAGGTGTATTTTAAAGCAGGGCTTTGGTCAGTGTGAGAAGATCCACCCAGGGGTGCTCCAGCGGCGCTCTGGGGCTGGTTGCAGCTCTCCCCACAAGCGGAGGCTGGCAGAACTGGACCTGCAGCTTTCAGAGCTGCTGTGCCTCCTTGTGATTTATGTCAAAGGGTTCCCGTAAGCACGGTGCTAATTTTATGGCAGCTTGTGAAGTGTGATCTGCAGCGTTTGTGACCTCCTCTTGGTGAAAAAGGTGTTCCTGGAGTCTTTCTGTTACTTGCTTCACACCAAAGATGCAGGATGAATGAGGATTCACAGAATCGCTCGGTTGGAAAAGCCCTCTGAGATCATCACGTCCAACCGCTCCTGTCTACCCCCTAAACCATATCCTTAAGTACCTCGTCTACCCGCTCTTTAAACACATCCAGGGATGGTGACTCCACCACCTCCCTGGGCAGCCTGGTCCAGCTTCTGACGACCCTCTCAGTAAAGAACTTCCTCCTTATCTCTAACCTGAACCTCCCTTGGCACAGCTTGGTGCCGTTTCCCCTTGTTCTATCCCCCATCACCTGGGAGAAGAGCCCAGCACCCACCTCTCTCCAAGCTCCCTTGAGGCAGTTGTAGGTGGTGATGAGGTCTCCCCTCAGCCTTCTCTTCTCCAGGCTTTAAAAAGCCACTCTTCAGAGTGGCTTTAAAATGCTGTGGGTTCTTTAATGGTCCCCATTGGGAAGGTAACGTCCCAGTTGTCCAGGAGAAATTTAAAGGTGAGGAATATGAGGTGGTTGCTTCTGCTGCACTGCTCCTTTACGCTGTGATCTGTTATGGCATTTTGCTGGCCTTCTTGTGCTGTTTGCTGAGCAGACTCTCCTCAGGAGGAGGGTTCCTTGTCGTAAAGGAATGGTAGGGAGGAGTGGTGCATAAAAATCACTCTTCACTGCTGTTTTTTTCCCCATAATTAGGTTTTTCTATGAGTCTTTGCATCTTATTTCTGAAAAATGCTTAATCCAGTGGTTGTGTGCTGCTGGCCAGGTTGTCACCCTAGATGAGCAGTCCCCAGCCCCTGTATTGATCTGGAATATCTTGGCTGTAATGAACAATATTTGTGCCAAAGCAAGTGAGCTGATTCTGACAACAAATCTGTCTGGGGATGTGTGCTCTCGTGGAGCCAAGAGGGAAATGGAAATGGGAGACAGCAACTGGCGGCTCTTGCAAGAGAGGTGCCCACAGCAGAGCACGGTGCTGGGAGTGGAAAGAGCCCCAGTCCAGTTCTCCTGCATCTCCCAGGATCCCACATTGACTATTTCCTCTCTTTTCCTGGTGTCGAAGGAGTGTGCGGAGCCAGGCTCCCCTCCACAACTCGTGAACAAGCTCCCAGTTCCTCAGCACTCTGTGCAGGGTCTGTGCTCGATTTACCACCCGTGCTTGTGTCTCCTTTCAGGCATGGACAATCAGACGGTGCTGGCTGTGCAGTCCTTGCTGGATGGTCAGGGAGGTGTGACGGACCCATCTGCTCAAAATGTCAACTCCTCTGCTGCTATCCAGTCCATGGGTGAGTGCTGGTAGCACTGGGAGAGAGGGGCAGGGGCTGTAGGTCTCTTCCAACAGCACCAGAACAGTGGGAGAAAGGGGCCAAGTGCCCAGGTGAGTTGGCCATAGAAATAAACTGGACCACACATTTACAGTAAAGGCACGAAAGGAGGGAGAAGCTGCTCTCCCTGCCACTAGAGCTTGTTACCGTTCACATTTTGTATTTAATGAGCTATTCCTTATCCTCTGGAGATGTACAACTGCTCCAGTCACTGAGTATCTCATCTGTGTGAATGAACATGGAAGCTGGTGCTTGACCAGGACTCACTGGGTGGATACCAAGTTATCCCCTGGAGCAGTTACAGTCTGCGTCCCCAAAAATATTCTGCTTCAGGGTGTGAATCAGGCAGGAGGTACAGCCTTGTGAGTTCAACTGGATCAAGTGCAAAACGGTGTGTGCTTGTGTGGTTTGCCAGTGCTGCAAATTTCATCTGGGACGTGGTAACTGGGTGGTCGTCTTTCTGTTTCTAACGTCAAGCAGAGGTGCCAAAGAGCAGAAGTCTTGGGGGTGGGTGGCTTTCAGACACAAGCTGCCGTTGACTCTGTGCTCTGATCCAGGTTACTTCTCTTCCTTTGTGGAAGCTGAGTAATAAAATCTGCCTCAACCAGCATAACGCAGGTGCTTTGGAAGAAGCTGTTTCGGATAAAAGCAGAGGGTGCTGCAGGAGCAAGGCTGGGTTGGTTGCTCGTGTCTTTGGGATGAGAAGACAGACAACGGGGTTCAGTTTGTCACAGGGAGATGGCTGAGATGGGCTCAGCTGCATCAGTTGGCCTTAAGGGAGAGCTTGGGGCTGGGGAAGAGGGACAGTTTGGCCCTTGCAGCTGATCTCTCCTGATGATGATGTCCCTGGGGTGCTAAGATCCAAAAGGTGCCTGTTTTCCTGCGGCTGTGGTCGTTAGGTGTAGCGCTGGGAAATGCAGAAGAAAGCCTTTGGCAGTGATCTGGTCCTTCTAATTGCAGATGATGAAGACGTGTTCCTCTGTGGGAAGTGTAAGAAGCAGTTCAACTCCCTGCCTGCCTTCATGACCCACAAGAGAGAGCAGTGCCAGGGAAATGCTCCTTCCCTCTCCACGGTCTCGCTGGCCACCAACAGCGTGTACACCCCCTCCATCACCTCAGTGCAGCAGGCTCCCAGCGCCAACCGGCAGGTACCGTGCTGTGGGCAAAGGCTCTACTGCTCTGTCACTGTGGTTTCTGGGAGTCGAGGGGACCTCTGGGTGATGCTTTTAGATCCAGTGATGCCTCATGACTGACCTGGGAAGCTCAGTCATGGTCTTCTTGGCTTCATGGTTAAAGCTGGCTGGAATAGCTCTCGCTGTCCTCTGGGATGTGGTCTGGCAATGTCTGGCAGCCTTATTCCTGTATCTCTCTTCTCAGTCTCCTGCAGATGAGCCCACGTAATGTAGGTGTGAGGAGTGTTAAGGGAATATCCTCTCTGGAGTAACTCTCCTTCTCACCAGACTTCTCAGGAGTGAATGCCTTGTGCATGGCTTGCACTGTGCCTGCAATCGTGGTGGTTTCCAAAGTGCTTTCAAGCCAGCTGCTTTTTTCGAGTTAACTTAGTGCCAGTGGATTGCGCTGTCCAGGGCTGCATACACAAGTAGTTTCCACCTGGAAACTGGGACAGCCTCCTTCCCCTCCTTTAATCCGATGCCAGTCTGAGGAGATGATCCTGACGTTCACCATCTGCAGCCAGAGCAGCCTCCCTCAGTTCACCTTCCCTGGCTGGGGGAAGCACCCAGGAAAGGCCTGAACTTGTCTACGACCAGTTTGTCCTGCAGATCTTATTTAATAATCCCAATTTGGATTGTAGCCAGTGACCACTTTCCCAAGCCACTGTGATATTTTTTACCTCCTTTTCTGAAGAACATTTCTAGAGCTGCCTTGTTATTACAGCTAGAAACTACTTGGAATCTGTAGATAATTACTGTGGCTCACCAGAGGCTTTGAAAGCAGAGACTCTGAGGTTCAGTAAAGAGCAGTGGCATCATTTTTTATTTATTATTTTGTCCTGTTGCTGGTGAACAATGCATTTTTATTTTTTTTTTTTTTCAGCAAATTTCTACGTACATCACTGTTCCCCCATCACCTTTGATTCAGACCCTGGTGCAGGGCAACATCTTAGTCAGCGATGAGGTGCTGATGTCAGCCATGTCTGCTTTTACATCCTTGGACCAGCCCATGCCGACGGTGCAGCCCCCGGTGCAGGTAAGGGGCACACATGGGCCCGAGGAGTCCTGCCTGGGGCTGTGTTTGCACAGCAGGGGAGCCCTGTCGGGGTCAATTAGACTTTAGAGATCTGCTTCCATGCTGAATCCTGGGTACCTTCCCAACGCGACAGCCAGGCTCAGGAAGGAGTGATGGATAAATGAAAGGAGATCTCCAAGGTCTGCTCTCTCCATCTTGTTGCTTGATGCCCAAATCTTTGTAACGTGGTCTCCAGCTTTTTGTTGAGCCCCTGTGTAATCGTTGGCTTCCGGAGCCCTTGTCGGTTTGCTTTGTGGATCCCTCTCCTCCTGAGATGGTTGTTTTGGGCTCTCCCTGGGGTTGACCAGGCTGTATACACTCTCCATGCTCTGAAAATGTTCTTTGTAACCAGAAGGATTAAAAGCTTTAAAAAACAAAGCAAAAAAAAAAAAAAGCAGTGGGGTTTGAGTGCTTGGGCTTTGAAGAAGAGAGTGTCTACCAGCAGGTCATGCCAACCCTGGCATGGTCTGGTCCAGCCTGGCAGTTGGACAATGCTGCGTTGTGTTAAGACATCATCACTGTTCCTGCAGATGCTGTTTTGAATCGAGGTTGGGAACGTGTGTGAGGGAGCAGCCCCTCCAACTCCTTGCTGCTGCATTTTCAACATCTTGTCTGTCTGTCTCTCCTTGTTCTGGTTTTAGAGCAGCTTGAGTATGCATGCTGGGGCTGGCTACCTCTCCCAGCCACCCCCGCCTCCACCTCCTCCACCGCCACCCCCTCCTCAGCCTCCACCACCTCCCCCCCAGAGCATGGGGCCTCCAGGGCAGCCCAACGCCGGCGGCAGCGGCGTGGTTGAAGTGTACAGCGCGCCTGCTCCTATGGCAGCAAACAGCACGGTGGAGATCCAGACGCTGGGGATGCAGCCCTATCCACCCATGGAGGTAAGGCCAGGGGCTGTCAGCAGAGGCTCTGTCCTCCTGGGCCTCTTCCAACAAGCTCAGGAGTCATCTGGCTTGGAAATGCAGAATTAGAGTCTGGGAAATGCAGAATTAGAGTCTGGGAAGATGTGATAGGTTATTTGACAGTGATTATTTCCTCTGGGAGAACGTACTGAACAGAAGGATGTTGGCAAGGATGTTTTCAGCCTTATCTTTGGACCTGGCACCTGTGTTAATTTATCAGGATGGACAACAGAAATGTCCTCAAACCATATCACCCCAGACTGATGCTGCTGTCCTTTTCTCTAAGCATCCTTTTCTAATATTGGTGCTGACGTAAACAACTGTGCTTTGCCACCTGAAGTTTTCTTGTGCTTTCCTTCCCTTCTGCAGTCCTGCCAGGGCAGGCAGCAGGACCTGGAAATATCTCTACCTTCAGGGGTGATGTGAACCTGCAGAGTCAGCAGTGATCATTCTGGTAACCTGCTCCAGAGGAATGAGAACCTCTTCTATGCATAAGACATAGATGAGCCATTCGGTGGCTCCTTCAGAGTGTTTCTTTGCTGTCCTGTTCCTGCTGGAATAACTCCTGGCTACTTTGTGATGTTCAACAGAGAGTTTGATGCTGTGCAGGGTGTTAGTTTTAGTTAGAGACACCTTGTTGGACTGGTGAACCAGAAATTTCATCCAGTTTGGCAGGAGGCAGAAAACTCAGCCAGACCAGTAGCCTGATGTGGCAAGTGTTGCTGGAGATGTAGGGTAGGACACGGTATAATTATGTAGCCAATCTGTTTCCTCTGATAAATTGCACTCTTGCAGGTACCAAGCCAGTGTGTGGAAAGCCCTGTGTACCCCTCTCCTCCTGTGTACAGCCCTGGGAAGCAGGGCTTCAAGTCCAAGAGCACCAGCGCTCCCACGCCTTTGACCAGTGCAGGAGCAGGCGGTGTGGTTGGTTTTGATCCTGCTTCAGTTGCCAAAAGTCGACGCTGCAAAAACGAGAGCGGGCTGCAAGAAGGTAGGTGTCCTTAGAGCATTTGCCCTGCACTAACCTGTCATCTCTGAGCTTAGGAAGGACTTTCACTGCACTACTGTGTGGGCAAGCTTGTGCTAGATCTGAGCAGCCACATGCTTATTGGATCACACCTGAAATGAGGAGATACTGCAAAGTGAATTGTTAGAGCTTGGTCTGCTTTAACCCAAGGAAGGCTGCGTAGCCACATGGCTTGTGGGCTAGATGTGGACTCCCTTCCCAGGGGCTCAGCAGACCCATCCCTGCCGTGTGTTTCAATTCCTGTGAAGAAAACATGCCTGTCTCAGGTGAGGCAGGACAGGGGTGTGCCCCATTACTGCGTGGAGATGTGTCAAATCCTCTGCTGGCGTAGCCTGCCCATTGCTGGTGCGATGCAAGCACACCTGGTTGAGAGACAGGGGAGGTCCCAGATGTGAGGTGGGAGAACCACGTGGCCCTCTTCCCCGGGAAGGTTTGGCCTGTGGAGTTACAAATGTACAGATGCTAGGCTTTAATGTTATTTGCAGAGGTGTGACTGGTCATGCAGGCTGCAGCTCTCGGTCCAGAATTTCCCCAAACAGCCCATGGTTCTGCTGTTTTCCATTGGTTTATACCCCATCATAGTAGATGGAAGATCACAGAATCACAGAATCCCAGACCGTTAGGGATTGGAAGGGACCTCCAAAGCTCATCCAGTCCAATCCCCCTGCCGGAGCAGGAACACCCAGATGAGGTTACACAGGAAGGCGTCCAGGCGGGTTTTGAATGTCTCCAGAGAAGGAGACTCTACAACCTCTCTGGGCAGCCTGGGCCAGTGCTCTGGCACCCTCACTGAGAAGAAGTTTCTTCTCCAATTGAAGTGGAACCTCCTGTGTTCCAGTTTGTGTCCATTACCTCTTGTCCTATCATTTTTTGTCACTGAGAAGAGCCTGGCTCCATCCTCGTGACACTCACCCTTTAAATATTTATAAACATGAATGAGGTCTCCCCTCGGTCTCCTCTTCTGCAAACTAAAGAGCCCCAGCTCCCTCAGCCGCTCCTCAGAAGGGAGATGCTCCACTCCCTTGATCATCTTTGTAGCCCTACGCTGGACTCTCTCCAGCAGTTCCCTGTCCTTCTTGAACTGAGGGGCCCAGAACTGGACACAATATTCCAGATGCCTGGAAGATGTGACTGACTGATCTGAGTGGGAGAAATGTGCATGTGCTCTGGCTGATAGCTGCTCTTGGTGAGTTCACAGGAGAGAGACAGAGCTGGGGCCCTTCCTCTCACTAATCCACGGTTTTTTCCCAAAGCCCAACATGACTTCAAAGTAGATGCTTTGTAGTGCAGCTGGAAGGGTCCCTGGAGTGGTTAATGCCTGAAGGGGATGCCCTGCCTCCTCCACTACTACTCTCCTCAGTACTTCTAGAGTTAGCTCAGGCTATGTTAAATATGTTTGTGCCCATAACCTCTCCCCAGTCTGGCCAGGCAAATCTCAGCCTTTCGTAAGTCCTTTATTCTTCATCCTGAATAGATGTGTCTTGGGGTGAGAGCTCTGTGGTGCAGGGGGAATGGGGCTGTGCCACTTGATCTCATTCCTGTGTGCACTCTTGTTCTTTCAGGCAAACCCAAGTCTCCCAAGCTGAAATGCACTTACTGCGACAAGGCTTTTACCAAGAACTTCGACCTCCAGCAGCACATCAGGAGGTAACGGTGCTGCCAGCCTGGACACAGCCGAGGGGCTGAGGTGGAGGGGGGCACAGCCCCTCTGAGGGCGTCTGGACAGTCCAGTAGACCTTGCACTTGGCATGTCCCAGAATCTGTGCAGTGCTGGAGGTGATCCTTCATCCCCCTTCCTCCAGGACTCCTTCTCCCCCATGGCTGAGGTGAAGGCTGCATTATGGATGTAATCTTGTTGATTATGGGCTGGGACTTAAGAGTTGTTTTCCTTGCTGATGAGACCTTGAAAGCCAAACCTGTAATCACCTGATCACTGGATCAGCATCATCTCCACTGCTTGCTTTTGCCCTTTCCTCTACTCTCTTCCCCAGCAAGCTGCAGCCTTTGTGTTTGCTGGTGTTAGCAAGCCATAAGCCAAGTTCAGTGTCTCTGTAGGGAGCTCTTATCAGAGAGTTTTTCTCTGGCAGGAGGCAGTTGAAATCTTCAGCGTTTCCCCCAGTGGAGTCTGCTGGGCTCAGGGCAGGTGAGAAGAAACAAGTGGTGGTTTTGCTCCTCTTCCTGGCCGGGACTCTTCACATGATGTAGTCCATGTGTTGGAGTCTGCTTTTATTCTGGCAGCAGAAGGGTAGGGTAGAAAGACCTTTCTGCTGGGATAGGGGAGAGCAAATTGAGAGATTAGGGGACTGCAAGCTAGAAGAGAAGTGTGCAGGAGAGGGAAAGGTGATAGAGGAGGAAAAGGTCGTAACCCTGAGAAAGTGATGGTGTCCCCAAGGTCCATGCAAAAACCCTAAGGGCTGCCTACTCTCTCTGCTGGCTGCTGATATGGTGCCTTCTGCCTTCAGTCACACAGGTGAGAAGCCCTTCCAGTGCATCGTGTGTGGCCGAGCCTTTGCCCAGAAGTCCAATGTGAAGAAGCACATGCAGACCCATAAAGTGTGGCCTCCGGGACTGGGGTGCACAATCTCCCGCAACTCCATCACGGTGCAGGTCATGGCCTTGAATCCCAACCAGCCAGAGGACGAGGAGAACACAGGTTTGCTGCCTGGGGATGGTGTGTACTAGGGCAGGGCAGTGGTGCGAGGAGTCTGCAAGTCCCTGCACCTCCACACAGGGACACAGGAGCTGCGTGTGCTGTTTGCATTCCTCCTGTGGGGTTTAGCAGCACATCCAGGGTCTGGATACTCTTTCAGCTGGTGGCTTCAGTTCTGGTAGGAGGGGAGGGAACACTCTGACAATGTCATGTCTAGGACAAGGCCCCACTGGAGTTGCTCCATGCAGATATCAAGCACTGTGTGCTGCTGCTTGGATCTTACCTCTCGTCTCCTGCCAGTGATGGGAGTAAATCTGGCTCTGGTTCCCTGGCGGGGGCTTGCCCTGCTGACTGCTCCACAGGGCACAGTTAGATGCCTGGGAAAGGAAAATGGGTCAAGGAGAGGAAGATGGAGTAGTCAGAGCTCTTGATAAATCTGCAGGCAAACTTAAAACTACCCTGTTGGAGAGTGAGAGTCATCTGATCTAAAGAATCTGCCTTTGAAAGGAAGGAAGAGTCTGGCCCCAGGGACAGCCCTGGTGTGTCTCAGCAGCGTGGCACTTGCACAGCAGCTTTTGGAGCTGTCTCATGGCAGGCTGTGACTTTCTGTGTCCCTTTCTCCAGGTTTGACTCAGCCCGTGAGGAACCCTGCAGAACCGCCCCAAGACATGAGCCCCTTGGAGGACAGCGACACAGGCAAACTGGAAGCCAAGCAAGTTGTCTTGATCGATAGCTCTTACCAGTGCCAGTTCTGCCCCAGCAAATTCAACACCTATTTCCAGCTCAAATCACACATGACACAGCACAAGAACGAGCAGGTAGGGACAGAGGGTGCCCTGTGTTGGTGGCAAGATTGGGACGGGCTTCATACAATGCACCAGCTCCCAGGGTCTGTCCTGAGCCTTGTGTTCTGTAAAGGTGCCAGTGCTTCACATGCAGCTTGGCTCTCTACATGTCTGAGTTGCAGCTGTGTGGTCCGAGTGGTCTTGGTAAGCTCTGCTGCCTCCACCCTGCTGAGTGAGAAGTCAGCTGAGCATGTTTGGGTGGCTAAAGAAATGAAGTCCAAAGTTTTCAGCAGCTCTCAGGTCGTGGGACAGTCACTACTGGGGTGTTGTGGTCTCACCCACTCACATGGCTTTGGGTGCTTACACCAACACCCCTTTCTCCCACCGTTCTTTCTGAGAGGAGTGCCCTGATAATCTGTGTTTGCAGAATGTTCAACTCCCAGCAGGTTCTGCTGTTGTCTTCACCTGGAGCTGTCAGCCACATTTTGATGCTGTTCTTCAAAGACCCTTCCTCTGGGGAAGGGGTTGTTTTACCACCACGTTGTGTCCTGCTGCAGCACAGGGCAGGGTTTCACTGCTGTGCCCTGACTGAGTGCTAATGAGCATGGTGGGATGCTCTGGCAGAAGATTTCCCATTTCTTTCCATGATGTGCCACTCCAGTGGCTCTCCTTTCTTCATCCAGGTGTACAAGTGTGTGGTGAAGACCTGCGCACAGACCTTCCAGAAGCTGGAGTCCTTCCTTGAGCACATCAAGAGCCACCAGGAGGAGCTGAGTTATCGTTGCCACCTCTGCAGCAAGGACTTCCCCTCCCTGTACGAGCTGGGCGTCCACCAGTACTCCCACAGCCTGCTGCCCCAGCACAGCCCCAAGAAGGACGTGGCCGTGTACAAGTACAGTAGCAATCGGTGCTCACAAGGCTTGTAGGAGTGAGTGGGTGAAGAGCGTGTTTGGCTGAGTGGTGGGGACGTCAGAGGGAAGAGGGTGTCATGGTTCTTTTGGGCACCCGGGTGGCAAGTTAAGTGCCAAGGCGAAGCACTTCAAATGCAAGGAACCTTTCAGAGAGATGGGGAAAGGTTGGGATCAGTTATGTGGGAAGATCCCATCACTGCAGATCCTCTTATTATCAGTCAAGAATGGGTTGGGCACAGCTGAACCTACACTGTGCAAGAGAGCCAGGGAAGCCCCTTCCCAGTCTGTGGGATATGTGCTTGAGTCCCTGGATGCTCCTATGGGTGTCTGGAAGAGCACCAGCAATTTAACAACTTCTCTGGCCGGTTTCCCAGCATTTCCCCTCTGTGAAGGATGCTAAGTGTGAGTGTGATCTGGCCACGTGGGTTGCTGAGGTTTCAGAGCACCTGGGGGGTGGTGGTATTGTCAGTACCAAACCAACCCTGTCAAAAATCAACCTGGGAGCTGGCTGGTGAAGGAACTGGGCAGCCCTGCCCGGGATCTGCCTGCAGCGTGGGCTCGTTCACAGGCTGTGTCCTTTCTCTCCACATTCAGATGCGTGAAGTGTGTCAATAAATACTCCACCCCGGAAGCCCTGGAGCACCATCTGCAGACAGCAACGCACAACTTTCCCTGCCCTCACTGCCAGAAGGTGGGTGGGTGACTGCTGCTTGAGCCGGTCCTGGACACTATGGCTCTGAGAGGCACAGGACCCCTAGGCTCCCTTTCCTCTCCCTTCCTACCTCAGTATGGACTGGCAGGCTCCCGAGGTGCTTTTCAGAGAGGCAGAGGTGATGCAACCCTGGCCTCCAGCTCTGTGGCCTCTCATGCAGAGCATGTTCCTCCCCACTCTGTTGGCTTTTCTCCTGGGTCCTGTTTGCTAAACAGTTTGTCAGGGGAGCTCCCTTACTCCCACGACAGCACAGGACTGCACACTGTGGGCTGCTGTCCTTATTTCTTAAAAGTGATTGTATCAGGAGGAGCGAGGCTGATCTTGGCAAGTCTTAGAGTGATGGCAGTGCCTTTGACACACCATGCCTGGCTACTTATGGCTGGAAAGCCGAGCATGAAAAGCCCGAGGTCCTGGGGGAGCTCATACCTCAGTTGCTGTCTCCTGTCGCAACAGAAGTGTCTGGGTTCCCCCATGTTCCCCTCTTTTGGATGAGTGCTCTGAGTCCTTGGCAAAGATAAATCTGTCCGAGTGATGTGACTGGGACTGGAACAACGCCAATGTAAGTTTTGGCTAGAAATACTCCCACAGTATTTCCTGAGGGGGTTTGAGGGGCAGAATTTTGTGGGATTTGAATTTGAATAAATTATTTTTTGAAATCCAGACTAAAACTTGGACTCTTGCTCCTCTGTTTATAGCGAAGGAAATGAAAATCCTGCAATGAGGGCAGGGACAGCCTCAAAGGAGGCACTGGGGGTCTTTGCTCAGCCCATCCCACTGCTGGTTCCAGTGGGAGACTGGGCATCCATGTGTGGAGCTGTATGGTGATACAACAGCAAGGTTTCAGCTTGTGTTTCTTAAGGATAAGAAGGTTTTGGGGTTTTTTTTGTTTGTTTGTTGGGTTTTTTAGACTTTTTTAGCTCTGTGTTTTCCTTATGCCAACTAAAGATTTCCTCAGTGTGTCCTTTCCAAGAGAGCAATCACCATGAGCTTTGTCTGCTTTCTGTACACGCCACTCCTCCCATGCCCATGCAGGCTCCGTGATGTCCCTCGTGTGCTGCTGGCTCTTAGCCTTGTTTTTGTGTGTTAACAGGTATTCCCCTGCGAGAGGTACCTGCGCCGCCACATCCCCACCCACGGCGGGGGCAGCAAGTTCAAGTGCCAGATCTGCAAGAAGTTCTTTCGCCGGGAGCACTACCTCAAGCTGCACGCCCACATCCACTCTGGTACGGGCTCCCCCAGCTCTTTATCTCTGTAGCACAGTCCTTGCTGTGCTCTCTAATGCCCTGGCTATTTTCCTGATAAGCAGAGGAACAGAACTGACTGTATGAGTCATTTGTAGTAACGTGGGTTTTAAGAAATGTATGGGTTTGGTTCAGCCTCATGCCCAGCGCTGCAGCAGTTAGAAGTGGCTTCCCCACTGCTTGTGGTTGCAGAAGCTGGCCCTGAAGAGCAGGAGCAGCGCACAGGGTGGGTTGTATCCACCCATTTACCCATCAGGCAGGGGAGGGAAGCTTGGGGAAGTTTGTAGAGAAGCAGAGAGTGGCACCGCTGCCAGAGTGAGCCCTGTATGTGACTCGAGCAGCCCCGTGTGGTTGGACTCTCCCTGACTCTTGGTCTCTTTCTTTGTTCAGGTGAAAAGCCCTTCAAGTGCTCAGTGTGCGATGCAGCTTTCAATCGGAAAGACAAACTCAAGCGACACATGCTGATCCACGAGCCTTTTAAGAAATATAAATGTCCCTTCTCGTACGTAGTGTGTCTCCATCGTGGCTGTGTGTCTTAATGGGGTTGGGATGGGGTTCATGCTGCTCACCAGCATTTGTTGTTGTTGCAGAAGCCACACGGGCTGCAATAAAGAGTTCAACAGGCCGGACAAGCTGAAGGCTCACATACTGTCCCATTCGGGTAAGTGCAGCTCTGCCCATGCTGCTGGTGGTTGGGGACAAGGTGACTGGGATTTGCTGTGGTGGTGCAGGAGCACGTTACAAGAGGAATAAGCCTGAGAAACAAGAGAGCAAACTGTGGAAGTGCTTCTGCATAAAGCAGAAGCTTTAAGCATAAGCAGAAAGCAGAAGCAAAGCATAAGCAGAAGCACTTCCACAGTTTGCTCTCTTGTTTCTAGAAGTGCAAGACTTTCGTTACAGGTGCTTTCCCTGCGGTGTCCCTCCACAGCTCAGCTAACGCAGGTACTGTGTGGCTTCCTGTGAAAGATATTTGTGTGGTACAGCATTTCCCAGATTTAGACCTAAATTATCAATATAATTTATTAGATTTATTTTTTTAATCTCTGTTGCTGCAGGCCTGTTTAATTGAGCTTGCATTTACAGCTGTGTCTTAAGCTTTGGTCTGTTTTCTAAAGCAATGTAAATCTGCAGGCAGCGTCTGCTGGCGAGGCGCAGAAGCAGAGCTGGGTTTCTCATTGTGTTTGCTGTCAAATGAATATCTGGAGTGCTTTGTCCACGCCTCAGTAACATCTCTTATGCAAAATGAGATCTCTTGGGATTTGATTCCCTTCTCTCTGTGTTCCAAAAATGATGCTCTCACTCCTAATAAAGACAAACAATGTATTCCCGTGCCCCAGGGAATGTTTTGACTTCTGTCTCTCGGGGTAAAACTGAAAGTATTTTCTCATGTCTGTCATGTCCAGACCCTGCAGAGTGTGATCAGATGGGGCTGTGCTGACAGTGCATTCCCATACTTGGGAGGAAAAAAAAAAGTGAAAATTTTATTACTTACTAAATACAATTCGAAAAAATCAGACTTTAAGATTGTTCTGCATTTTCTTCAGTTGCCTGACTTTTTTTGTCTGGTGATATTTTAATCCTCTTATTTGGAAGCAAGAACTATTGTTTTAGCCCTTCGTAAACACTGACATTCAAATCGTAGCCACTCACCCTTTTCTGACTGCAAATTTGCCTGGCGTGCTGTCTCCTCCCTTTTACCAGGGATCCCTTTTAAGAGGGGATGAAGCTGTCGCACGCTCCTTGGCGTGGTGCAGGTTTTCCTGAAGATCTGCGTTAGGGCGCAGGGTCTCTAACTGAGCTCTCTCTCTCCTCCAATGCAGGGATGAAGATCCACAAGTGCCAGTACTGTAACAAGTCCTTCAGCCGACGAGCCCACATGATCGAGCATCAACGCTCGCACACCGGCAACTACAAATACCGCTGCCCCACCTGCAGCAAAGGCTTCACCCGCCACAAGTACATGAAGGACCACAAGTGCCGGCTGGGCTCACCCAAGGACAAGGACCTGCAGCTCAGGAAGCCCCAGAAGAAGCGGGTGGCGCGGGGACGCAAAGCGGGCCTTTCCCTCCCTAGCCAGCTGGGTCTGGCGGAGCTGAAGGACGGTGCTGCTGCAGAGAGCCCCCCTGAAGGTGGCTCTAACAAAGAACCGTTCCAGGAGTCAGACGCAGTCCTGTCCATCGTGGTTGGTGGATCGGGAGCTGCTGACTCAGACCTTGTTCCTGGGCAGCCCAACAGCATTGCATCCAATTTGGCCCTGGCAGAACTGCAGACGGCCTCGGACGGCCCCTGCACCATGCTGGCTGTTCCCGTTTACATCCAGACAACGGAGTGATGATGTGTAGAGCCACTGTGTGGCTGAGGGCTGCTGCTGGGGCTGTCAGTCTCAGTGCTGAAATTTATCCTGGTGAAAAAGACCAAAGCTCTTGTGGGGAGGTAGATGGACGTGGGAGAGAATGGCTTTCATCTCCACTTGTTCTTCTCATCCTTGGGCAGAGGCTGCTTGGAAGCCACCAACGGCTACAAGGCACTGAAGAGAACAGCTCCGTTACTTCTTGTCCTTCTGCACCACTGGTCAGCCATGGGCAAGAAAGACTTAAGATCCCTGAATCAGGGTGAGAAGAAGGAGCGTGCAAACTTGCAACAAAGAGAGCTGCTGCAATCAGGTGGCTTTGCAAATCACAGCCTGTCCCATCTGTGGTTTTTCTGGCCTAAAAGCTGTATTGCCCAGTATTTGGGTGGCCTTTCCGAGAGCAAACAATTGATCCTTCCTAGTGGAAGCAAGTTCATCCTGAGATCCTTTGGGAACACTGTTCAGAACTACCCTGATAGACTTAACTCTGGTATCTTTCTCCTCTCTGTCTCTATCAGTAGAAAGATCACCTTGTCTGTACTACATGTGTTATAAACACCATGGACCTCATGTGCTGTGTGGAGTCAGTAGTTGCGAGCATGTGTGTATTGGCTTTTCTCTCTGGTTGTTATTCCCTCCAAAGTGTTCTTTTCATGTTTTTTTCTCCATATCCAAGGATCTCCAAGTGCCTTAGACATCAGTGAGTCAACTCTTGTGACAGTTATAGACGTGACACCTCCTCTTTACAGCGAGGGAGACGAAAACCTGGCTGAAGTGTCCTGGCCAGGATCACACAGGAAACCTGTGATGCATCCACGAGCCAGTTCTCGAGCATCAGCTCTGGACTGGGTGCTTCTGGGCTTCTTCCCAGCCTGTGCATTCCCTTAGCTCAGGTCTATGGGTGAGTGATCAGTCGTTTTGGAGGGTCGCTGGCTGGTGAGGCATTGGTGTGGTGAGATAGTAAAAAAGCCTGGTGTGACTGGGACAATTTCTGGTGTCTGCTTGGCTTCTCCTCTCTAATTTCCCAAGCAGGAGTCCCAAAGCCAGCATGGGAGATCCAAACCCAGGAACTCAAAATTACTGTTGTGCAGTGCTGCTAGAGGAGGTTGCTCTGCTCTCCCGTGCTTTCTTCCTGCTCCACGTGTAGGGCAGCTGAGCTGAGCTTTCCCTGGTAAATTTGTGTGATGAGCTGCTAAGTTGTCTGTAGATTGAAAAATGCTGCATTTCCAGCCAGTTTCTCCAGGGTTGGTGTAGAGCAGAGCACGGGTTCAGTCAGTCCTTGGTGCTGAAACTGCAGAGTCCCCTGCCTTGCCATCTGGGAACGGTGGGCGTTTCTGGCTGCTGGAGGGATTACTGGTCTGACTGGCCTGGCCCTGATGCATCCAGGGGAGGCTGGGAGAAGGGGGGGTTGCCTGGGCTTTAGAAGAGGTTAAGGAGAGGTCTTGCTGCTGCCTATCATGAGGGGGTGGAGGAGGTGGAGCTGGACTCTTCAGAGGTGCACAGGGATGGGACAGGCAATAGGGACATGTTGGAACATGGCAAATTGCAACTCGATATAAAGAAATTTCTACCAAGAGGGTGGTCAAAGGAAGGAGGCCACTGAGATGTGTGGTGATACGCCAAATTCAACAGCATCCTGCTCTGAGGGGAAGTGCTGAGGAGGAGGTGGCCGGGCTGGAGACCTCCAGATGGCTCTTCCCACTTAGGTGTTTCTGTGAAACATCTTGCCTGCTTTGAATGGCAGAGTTTATTTGCCCACAATGTTTGTTTTAAATACTGAGCCCTCACAGGAGGGAACAGTATCAGGAAATAGTTTGCTAAATATACTTTTCCTGTTTTCCTCCCCTCTGTGCAGGCACCATACGGTGTCATTATGTGGTCTCTGGCACTGCTGCAGTCGGGTCTGTTTTGAGGCAAAGATGTGTGGGTGCAGCTTCAGCTCGGAGGCACCATCTGGAGGCTTGGCCTTTCCTTCCTGGCCCCTGCTTCCCACCAGCCTTGTGCACAGGCCAACCAGTCTAAAGGAGATGCTGGCAGCTGCTTTCCAGTGGCTACACTGAGTGTAATCCAAGGAAACAAGTCACAAAACAGCCTCGGATGTGACTGGGACACTGGGGGCTGAAAGATGCCACCCTGTTTGCTTGATAAGCATTGGCACATGGTGATGTTGAAGTGAAACAAGTTTTATCTTAAGCATAATTATTGTAATCGCTCTGAGATTCAGAGGATGTGCAAGACAACGTAACGGAGGTCCCTGATCAGCAAAGAAACCGGGTGGGCTGGTTGTGCTGCTCTTGCCTGTGGAAGCTCTGTGGATGCGGGTCCTACACGTGTCTGAGGGTGGCAGAGGAAAAGGTGGGTGACTGCCTGTGTGGTGGCCCCTGTCCCTTGCTGCCCAGCTGGGAAGCAGCACTCGTTTGGTTCATTTCTCCCCTTTGCCATTCGGTGTGTACATCCCGCCCTGTTTTCCAGAGCACTAAGTCTGACCCTGCTCAAAAGCAACGATTAATTTCCGTGGATGATTTCCAACAGTAAACACTACTATTAGCTGAGCCTGTTATTAATTACTTGTTTTCACACCACCAGGGTGAGTGGACAGGGAGGTGGTTATGACTTTTACAGTTGATAGAGGCCAAGCAGAAAGGAACAAGAGTCAGGAGCAGCCGGTAAAGGTTGGTACCAGGCTGAGGCACTTCAGGCACGGTTTCCTCGTTGACCTCTACG